ATGGATAGATAGATTGAGTGGATGGAAGGATGTGTAGATGGCTAGATGGAAGGATGAATGGAATCCCGGATGGACTGAAGGATGTATGGATGAGTGGAAGGATGGATGGAAGGGCCGATGGATGGATGGAATGGATGGATGGATAGATGGGTGTGTGGATGGATAGATGGGCGAATGGAGGATTGATGGAAGCATGGATAAATGGAATTGATGGATTAAATGGAAGGGTGAGTGGATGAATAGAAGGGTGGATGGATAGATGGAAAGATGGACGGAAGGATGGATGGATGGATGGATGGATAGATGGATAGATGGGTGGGTGGATGGATAGATGGGTGGATGGATGGATAGATGAATTGGTGGATGGATAGACGGGTGATTGGATGGATGGAAAGATGGACGGAAGGGTGGATGGAATGGATGGATTAAATGGAAGGGTGTATGGATGAATATAAGGGTGGATGGATAGATGGAAAGATGGAGGGAAGGATGGATGTGTGAATGGAATGATGGATAGGCGGGTGTAGAAGAATGGGTGGAAAGATGGATGGATGGGTGGATGGATGAATGGAAGGATGGATGTAAAAATGGGTGGGTTGGTGGGTAGATTGGTGGATAGATAAGTGAGTAAATGGATAGATAAAAGGATGGATGGAAGAAAGTATGTCTCAATACGAGACAAATGTGATCTCTGCTAGCCATGCCGAAGCAGTCTGCGCCCTTATCTGACCACCCACAGCTTGTCTCTACCCAGAAGTACTGGCCAACATTGCAGGGGAAAGGGGCGGGGGGGGGGGGGCTGATTCATGGTGGCTTTGAGTGGACACTAGCGCTGGTCAGTGATTTCCCTTAGTTCTTGCATCTCCGCCAGTCTGGGGAAATGTCCACGCACACTGACGCTACTTGGTGATCTTCGCGCGGATAACGACCTGTTCGAGTTCCATGGTGCTGGTATATATTATTGTTGTTAGACTTACAGGTTCTGCCCACAGGTAGCGTTGCAGGCTGCCTGGGAGACAACAGTCCACACACGCACCATTTTCTTACATCGGTCAGTTGGCGTCGGCATTCAAGTCTCTCCAAGGATGTTGGCCCACGGTGTTCTGGTTTAATCTTTTTCTTATTTTTCTTCTTCTTCTTCTTCTTCTTCTTCTTCTTCTTCTTCTTCTTCTTCTTCTTCTTCTTCATCTTCTTCTTCTTCGCGTTCGCCGGCTATAATCTCCGGCGAAAAGTTCTGGTTGCTTGTCCATTTCTTGCCCCAGAACCTGAGTGTTGCGTGAATATCCGTGTTACAGAGCTGACTCACGTGTACGCAGACTGTAGGTTACTTGTCTCTCAGACAGATGTCTTCCGACATCGAAGGAAGGTCCCAATTAGTCGACTCTTACGACATGCTGCTTGGGGAGGCAGTGGTATTCTTGTTTAATTTTCCCCACAATGGAGCCCCAGGAACCCACAGGAAGGGGGGGGGGGGGGGGTTCTATTAAATGATCGTAACAATGTGCTTCCCAACCACAATTACCGACCACGCAGCACTTTTGTGGTTTGCTCCTGCCTCTCCTACTGCTAATCTTTCCCAGTAGTCATGATGCTCTCTAGAAACCCCCCCCCCCCCCCCCCCCCCCCATTATTTTTTTTTTTTTTGCAATGTGTGCTTAAAGTACACTGTTGCCATCTTTTTGATACAGGTATTAGGGTGGACTAGTCGCAGCAAAATGCCACAGACCGTGTTGTGCGGAGGGGGCTAATCAGGAAGGGAATGAGAGTGACGGAAGAAATGACCGCAGAAAGGATGAGAGCTGAGCTTCTAAGACGAAGCAGACTAAACACAAATGTTCACAACAACGGTGATGAAATCCTATGCTATAATTGTGGAAGACTTTTCCTAACGCGTGTGGATCTTGCTAGTCACACTCGCTATCGCCATGGGCTGTGAGTCCCCTGCCTCCTTTTGGCGCAAAATAACACTAGAGTGTGAAAAGACGGAAAGGTACCAATCAATCAATCTTCTTTTATATTTCTCTACTCTTCCACTTCCACTATTTTATTTACTTCACCCCATAACCGTTGTTAGCTGCAAGATATTCGTGACATTCTACCCTGAAATCACAACTCCGCTAGCCCCTAACCCTCACTAATTTTCTCATTCCTACTGCAAGATTCAGAAAATGACAGTGCTTATTCCAGGAAAGTGACTTATTACCGCAGGCCATTTCTCATCTTCTCCCATACAGCCTTGGCTTGACCTGTCCTGGTCCTAATCTCCGTGCAAACATAGACACATTTATCACGTTGACAACGTCTACCTCTTGTCAAGTGACGCTTGCTTCAACGACATCATGACCAGATATAATAAAAATGTCTCTCTTTCTCCCCCTTTCTCATGTCTCTCTGTGGTGGTGGTGGTGGTAGTGGTAGTAGTATTAGTAGTAGTATCAGTTGCGAGGCATGATACACTGGCATGTGTAAGCGTTAGCATGTAACGATTACACGGGAGAGGTTATCACGTTATTTTTCCTCTCTGTCGCTTCGCTGTTGAGAATATGCTTGGGCGGCTAGTATTTTTGTACTGGTAACTGGTAATTTACCCAAGTTTCTGAGTGAGTGGCGTAGGCTAGGTCCTAGACGTAACTCATATTTGTAAATAGTAAACAGTAATAATAAATACTAAAATGATCTTTCTTTGGCAGTGGAAAGTGTAGACGACGATTACATCTGTTATATGCACGCCTCGCAATTCAGTAGTACTAGTAGTAGTACTAGTAGTACTAGTAGTAGTACTAGTAGTAGTGGTGGTGGTGGCGAGGCGGTAACAGCAGTAGCAGCAGCAGCAGCAGCAAAAGAAGAAGAAGAAGAAGAAGTAGAAGTAGAAGAAGAAGAAGAAGAAGAAGAAGAAGAAGAAGAAGAAGAAGAAGAAGAAGAAGAAGAAGAAGAAGAAGAAGAAGAAGAAGAAGAAGAAGAAGAAGAAGAAGAAGAAGAAGAAGAAGAAGAAGAAGAAGAAGAAAAAGACGAAGAAGAAGACCAAAAAGACCCCCCTCATGGTTAGAAAAACCTATCAGTGTTTTCCCTAAGACAAGACTCCCATATAATATCACTGAGACACAAACATCGGCCGAGCCAAGTCCCAAGTGTTCTATGTTCCTGTCCTTCCTGTCCAGACAGACTCCATTGTGCCTCATCGAACGATTTCCGGTTGCAGAGAGCGCCAGCAAAGGTCCGTCAATGTCACCAGGTCATTAAATATGTATGTATTTATCAGCGGGGTCAATTAGGGGCACCACTAGCTGGCACCGAGGATATAAGACTGTCTTTGCACAGTAGATACTTTTGTTTCAGAGAACGATAATATATTAAGATGACTCCAGTTTACAGTCTCCCTGACTGGGGACCGAGTTCCGGTACTCCTTACAGAACGTTAGACTGTTGGGACCCGCAAAATACTCCTGCGAGTGACCAATAAAAGCCCAAGTTTTCGCAAGTCGAATTTACATTTAAAGGGTTACATAAATTGGGGCCCAGGAACCCACACGAAGAATTCATACTCTTGTGATCCTATTATGTACAACAGGGTTATTTAGCTAAGCTTACGCCCAAACACAAATAGCGGTGGTTATGGGACAGATCTGCGAGCCCCAGTGGGAAAAGATCATTAACACAATTCAACTGGCAAAGATCTGAAAGCCATTCGCTACATGATCCGCTGATGTTAAGACACCTGATGTCCCACGCCTGTCGGTAAGGAACCTGATAATGATTAAGGTCAGGGCTATTTAACAGGCGGCCCGCCCGCGAAGGTCTAGCAAGTGGGCCGCGGATCACTGCCAGGTGTCCTGTATTAGTGACTTTTCTATGCCAGGACTCGGACTTTTGGCCCGTGACAATCCCCATTTTCAAAATGTTGGCCCCTGAGTAAACTTGGCTGAACAGCTCTGATTTAGGTTATCATCGACTGTACATTTCAGCAGAGGTGGAAAGCAGAGGTATGTGGTATTCGACCGCCATTTGTAAAAAAAAATGGAGAGGAGAGAGAGAGAGAGAGAGAGAGAGAGAGAGAGAGAGAGAGAGAGAGAGAGAGAGAGAGAGAGAGAGAGAGAGAGAGAGAGAGCAAAGACTTGCCACTTTACTTCCGCCCAGGAGAATCCAGTTGGATCTTCTCACTTTTACTGCTACAAAATTCATTAACCAATTCTATTTGAATATTCGTTTTGTTTTGACTTTCCCAAATCCCTCGGCCGTATTGGAGATATTACCCCGATAAGCCAGGCCATTTCTCTCAAGGGCTTTATCTTCCTCACCCCATCTCTCTCTCTCTCTCTCTCTCTCTCTCTCTCTCTCTCTCTCTCTCTCTCTCTCTCTCTCTCTCTATCTCCGTTCACCAAACCCCTCGTAAATCGTCAGCTGCATGTTTCCCCGCTGTCAGTCTGCACAAGATGAAAATTTGGATATTGCCATGTTTAGGTCGGATCTACTGTCCTTGAACAATTAATCATTGTCTTATAGCAACGTTTACCTAATCCCCCCCCCCCTTCCCTCACTCTCTAGTTCTCTTCCTCTCTCTCTCTCTCTCTCTCTCTCTCTCTCTCTCTCTCTCTCTCTCTCTCTCTCTCTCTCTCCCTCTCTCTCTCTCTTTCTGATGTACGTCCAATTTGGTAGAGCCTATTTGGTATAAGTCGTATTTGGTATAAGTCGTATTTGGTATACGTCGTATTTGGTATATGTCGTATTTGGTAAACTTCGTATTTGGTATATGTCGTATTTGGTATACGTCGTATTTGGTATACGTCGTATTTGGTATACGTCCAATTTGGCATACGTCGTATTTGGTATATGTCGCATTTGGTATATGTCGCATTTGGTATATGTCGTATCTGGTATACGTCGTATTTGGTATATGTCGTATTTGGTATACGTCCTATTTGGTATACGCCCAAAGATCTGTTGGTTTCCTTCAGAAAGTCTTCGGTTAATGAAACGAAATGTCTAATGTCTGTTCCAGAGAGTCTTCGGCTGATCACATGAAATACACAAGCGTTGCCAGCAAGCCGGGCGTGCACCCTCAACAGCATCACTACGCGATGATGCGGAACCGCTACCACTCTCACCACTACAACTACCCCGAGCACGACAGTCGGAGCGCTATGGGCATTATTGCTGAACTCGGTTCTGAGAGCAACGCCCATGGGCTGGCCAAGATCGTGACATCAAGGGACACCAAGAGAAAGGTCATCTGGGCTCTACTGGTGATTGCGGGATTCACGGCGGCCACTCTACAACTGTCGCTGTTGGTCCGCAAGTACCTGCAGTTTCAGGTGGTGGAGCTGTCAGAGATCAAGGACAGCATGCCCGTACAGTACCCGTCAGTATCTGTCTGCAACATTGAACCTATCTCCCTTCGCACCATCCGCCGGATGTACTTCAACAACGAGAGCCAGAACTTAATCACCTGGTTAAGCTTTATTCAAAAGTTCAGGTTCGAACAGGAGTCGTTCATGAACAGCATCCGGGCGTTCTATGAGAACTTGGGAGAGGACGCGAAACGGTTGAGCCACGACCTGGAGGACATGCTGATACACTGCCGGTTCAACAAGGAGATCTGCCAGGTGTCGAACTTCACCACTTTCTTTGACGGCAACTACTTCAACTGCTTTACGTTCAACAGCGGCGAGCGGCTGCAGATGCACGCTACGGGTCCAGAGAATGGATTATCTCTCATCTTCTCGGTAGAGAAAGATGACCCTCTCCCTGGGACATACGGCGTGTACAACTTTGATAACAACATCCTGCACAGTGCGGGAGTTCGGGTGGTCGTACATGCCCCTGGCTCCATGCCAAGTCCTGTAGACCATGGTTTTGACATCCCCCCTGGATATTCATCGTCTGTTGGCCTGAAAGCGGTTCTTCACACACGGCTGCCTTATCCTTACGGGAACTGTACAGACGACGTACTCAAAGGTATCAGGAGTTACAAGAATACCTTCTTCGCCTGTCTGCAGCTGTGCAAACAACGACTCATCATCCAGCGGTGTGGCTGTAAATCATCGGCGCTACCAGAGGTGCCCAGCTACAATGCATCATTCTGTGGCGCCATTAAAGACTGGCAAGGTATTTCTAGAAACCATTCCAATGAGACTGAGCACCAGTCAGACGAAGACCGGCCCTTTATCCCCACACCAGACCTGGCCTGTGAGGAGCGGGAGCAGAAGAACCTCAACAACGACCGAGCTTATGAGTTGAGTTGTGGTTGCTTCCAGCCATGCAGCGAGACGTCCTACCTCAAGTCTGTGTCTTTATCGTACTGGCCGTTGGAGTTCTACCAGCTCAGTGCTGTCGAGGTTTGTTTCTAAGTGTTGTGTTGTTCTACTGGCCGCTGGAGTTCTACCAGCACAGTGCTGTCGAGGTTTGTTTCTGCGTGTTGTTCAACTGTCTACTGAAGTTCTACCAGCTCAGTGCTGTCAAGGTTTGTTTCTGCGTGTTGTGTTGTTCTACTGGCCGCTGGAGTTCTACCAGCTCAGTGCTGTCGAGGTTTGTTTCTGCGTGTTGTGTTGTTCTACTGGCCGCTGGAGTTCTACCAGCTCAGTGCTGTCCAAGTTTGTTTCTGCCTGTTGTTCAACTGTCCGCTGGAGTTCTACCAACTTAGTGCTGTCGAGGTTTATTTCTGCGTATTGTTCAACTGTCTACCAGCTCAGTGCTGTCAAGGTTTGTTTCTGTGTGTTGTTCTACTGTCCGCTGGAGTTCTGCCAGCTCAGTGCTGTCGAGGTTTGTTTCTGCGTGTTGTGTTGTTCTACTGGCCGCTGGAGTTCTACCAGCTCAGTGCTGTCCAAGTTTGTTTCTGCCTGTTGTTTAACTGTCTACCAGCTCAGTGCTGTCAAGGTGTGTTTCTGCGTGTTCTACTGTCTACTAACGGTCTACCAGCTCAGTGCTGTCAAGGTTTGTTTCTGCGTATTGTTCTACTGTCTACTGAAGTTCTACCAGCTCAGTGCTGTCAAGGTTTGTTTCTGCATGTTGTTCTACTGTCTACTGAAGTTCTACCAGCTCAGTGCTGTCAAGGTTTGTTTCTGCATGTTGTCCTACTGTCTACTGAAGTTCTACCAGCTCAGTGCTGTCAAGGTTTGTTTCTGCGTGTTCTCCTGTCTGCTGAAGTTCTATCAGCTCAGTGCTCTCAAGGTTTGTTTCTGCGTGTTGTTAAACTGTCTACTGAAGTTCTACCAGCTCAGTGCTGTCGAGGTTTGTTTCTACGTGTTGTGTTGTTCTACTGGCCGCTGGAGTTCTACCAGCTCAGTGCTGTCGAGGTTTGTTTCTGCGTGTTGTGTTGTATTACTGACCGCTGGAGTTCTACCATCAGCACACTACATCAACAGACAGTAATACAATTAGAAACTAGACAAGACAAAAAAAAACCTAACTGAAGTACCTTAGACAGAAATCCACATGCCCGTCTGCCCAGTTCAAGCTCCAACACATGTGAAATAGTTAGTTGCGTATCCTTTACAGGACATTGCAGAACCAACCCCAGCATTTTGTTTTTGGCTGCTATGGTTTTTCTAGGCAAATTTACGTTTTAGTTTGCCATTGCTTTCTGGACAGTCGGCTTCTCGTTACAACAGTCGAAACCAAAGCAAGGCACAAGGCCGTCAGCTGGGAGCGAACCCGGCTCTCCGGCATTTCGAAGCGCGTTCGTAACGCCTAAGACAACGACGCCGTGTAATATATGTAAACTGAGGAAATGAATACTAGCGAGGAACCCCCCCCCCCCCCATCCCCCCACTCCTAGCCCCCTAAACACGCTTGATGCAGAAAAGCGCCCAGCAATGTTGCACCTAGCGATGTTGTGCCCAGCGATGTTGTGCCCAGCGATGTTGTGCCCAGCGATGTTGTGCCCAGCGATGTTGTCCCCAGCGATGTTGTCCCCAGCGATGTTGTGCCCAGCGATGTTGCGCCCAGCGATGTTGTGCCCAGCGATGTTGCGCCCAGCGATGTTGTGCCCAGCGATGTTGCGCATAGCAATGTTGCGCCCAGCGATGTTGTGCATAGCAATGTTGTGCCCAGCGATGTTGTGCATAGCAATGTTGTGCCCAGCGATGTTGTGCATAGCAATGTTGCGCCCAGCGATGTTGCACCCAGCGATGTTGTGCCCAGCGATGTTGCACCCAGCGATGTTGTGCCTAGCGATCTTGTGCCCAGCGATGTTGCGCCCAGCGATGTTGTGTCCAGCGATGTTGTGCATAGCAATGTTGTGCCCAGCGATGTTGCACCCAGCGATGTTGTGCCTAGCGATCTTGTGCATGGCGATGTTGTGCCCAGCGATGTTGTGCATAGCAATGTTGCACCCAGCGATGTTGTGCCCAGCGATGTTGTGCATAGCAATGTTGCACCCAGCGATGTTGCGCCCAGCATTGTTGCGCCCAGCGATGTACCAACAGAAAGTTAATTAAGTTGCAGGCTCAAACATGCATTTCTGGCAAAGCGTTTTCCATAGAGATACAGATATGTGATTCGCGGGTTGCAAGCGGCCCTTTAAATACTTGAGTGCGGCCCGCGATACGTACAATTTCCTAATCGTTCGATACTTGTCCTTTATCATTATGTGTTCAATACAAAATGTTTAGCTGTTAGAACACATGAACGTTATGTCTGCCTCGACAATGAAAGCAGCAAAACAGGAAGTAAAGAAAAATAAGATTACAAAACACTGCAAGTTGCAGCAACGTCTGCCAACATGGGATCGGCGAAAGAAATTAACACACGAATCCTTAAACTGTAATGCGGTGAATTCCAAGGGAAATCCCAGAGAGTTCAAAATTTAGGGGACAATGTCAGAGAGCCAGGGAAACTAAAGAAAAGGTAGAAAAGCATGAGACTGAAATGGAAGATGTGAACGGAGAGAGTAGGTAGAGTCAGTTGTGTTTTGACCGTGTGAGAGGTAGGTTGTTTGCTGGTATGACTGAAGTGGAGGTTGTTGTGAACTGGAGGACCAGCTGTTGTAAAGCTCGAGTGGCTGAGGAGAATTGTTTCCGAATGACAACGTCTAGTATTATGTGAACATTTGAGTTAGGATGATTCAGATGCTAGTAGCCGAAGGTATGGAAAGTTCTGACTGGCAGTTAACTGCAACCATAGTTTAACTGTCGCTTTGTCGTGAGAGGCTGTAGTGAGCACGTAGCAATGACTAGCGAGAACTACGGACATCGACAGCATGACTTATTCTTATGCCACAATAAACGGTATTAACGTTATCATCGTGTTCCGAATGTCCGTTTATGTGTCCAGACTTTACAGGTTGAGGCACGAACAAGTCGAACGAGCCAACACCAACGTCATTTCACACACCCACATCGTTGCAACAATCAAAGCGGCAAAAGAGGAAGTGAAAAGGAATGAGATTAGAAAACATTGCAAGATGCCGCCACGTCTGCTAACAGAGGATCGGCGACAGAAACACAATAAACGTTGAACCTAACCAAACAAAGCTAAGACATCGATTGGAAAACAATGATTTTCCCCCCTCTGCCTTCACCCACATTATTCATTTATGTTTTTATTCATTTCATTTAGATATTTGTCAGCAGAAGATGCCAGCGGAACGAGTTCAGTTTAAACCCCGTTTCCTTAGATTCTGATCCGACAGCCTATGCATTGTGCTTTGCTCCAAACGTATTGGTGCTACCGTTTCTCCAGAGTAAACAAAGCAGGCCGAGAGAAATCAAGACGCTGGGGAAATATGTGGTCTCCAAAATAACGCCCAGGCTTTGTGCTCTGGAAAGGAGATTGATTTCTGATGGCTGATTTAAGAATCCACATCATAGCACACCGGGCATACGCATAGATGCTCCGTCTCCCGCAGCAAATGTCCTAAGGTGTAGATGCTAACTGTTCCCGTAGCACACTGGAAAGGAGAAGCACACAGGAGGGTGTTGCTAGTCACACTCACCATCGCCATGGGCTGTGTTTCTCAGGCCTCCCTACCGCCCAGTATAACACTATCGTCGGGAAAGACGGAAAGGTACCAATAAAAAACCTGGACTGGATTTCACCAACGATATCCAAAAGATTGCAAGGATAGCATGGAATGCATGAAAAGATTGCGAGCCTCATATGACATAAAATGGCAGACCAGAAGGGTGATGAGGATGTTAGGACACGGGTTATCCCTCCCCCCCCCCTCCAACCAAATGACCCTCTTTGGATCTGGAGAAGGCGTTGCCCCCCCCCCCCTCCCCTCCGCACCACCCCCTACGTAATCCTGCTATACATTCAAGAGAGTGCCACCTGAAGACAAAAAAGTTAAAAACCACTGCTCTATGAAATCAGAAACATATAGTGAAAAAAGACGTCAGTTTCGAAGACAATGTAAGATTTTATTATTTTGCACAACTGTTGTTTTCTAAGTCGGCTCTGTGGCCTAGTCGATGCGAACGCTTCGTAATGCCGAGGTGCCGGGCTCGATACCAGCTGCGGGCCATGCGCCTTGTATTGGTTTCGACAGTGGTATCAGGGAGCCAATCGCCCAGAAAGCAATGGCAAACTACTGGACGAAAATTTGCTTAGAGAAACCACACAACAGCCAGGGGCTGCTGGGGTTGGTTCTGCAAAATTCTGTAGAGGATACGCAACTAACCTTGTTATTTTCAAAAGCCATTGCTTTTTTCCGAACCAATAAACTATCAAATCACACGAGAAAACGAGCCCCGATGCATCATATGCAAAATATGCCGGGTCAATGCCTAGGTGGAACCTCAGGAAATTGAGAAATCGCCTCAGCCAACAACCGAAACGATTTATGAAGTTAGCAGAGATTAAACATTGCTTCTGTCACGGCGGGGTTACGAGTTGAGTCAAATGACTGCAATCGAGGCTAACGCACACACGGACAGTCAGCTCAATACTGAAAGCGCCTTGTATAAGCTCCAGATCCAGTGTGCCCTGATGCGGTGCAGCAACTTCAAGACATGTAAAACTGGAGCACTCGAGTAAACTGGGGTGCTGTGGGTAAACTCGGGATACGGAAGTAAACTGGAATGAATACTTGGGTGATAACAGTATACAGCTGTGGTACATCGTGACAACAAACTGGAGGGGAAGTGATGGTTGGGGATAACAAGACCCCACCCCCCCCCCCTTCCACATACCCTCGCCATAGTGCGGCCTCGAGAATTTACACGAGAAGTTTGGTATAAGGATTTTAGTTAACTCTTTGAGTCCCAGGGAGTTTAGCATAACAGGCCTGAGGGGTAGTAAAGAGAGACTTAAAATCGGCGCATCTTGCGTTCATTGAGCTTTTATGTATGGATCTATGAACGTATGGCGCGTTCCTTGTGACTCAAAGAGTTAAAGCTATTATTATTTATGTTTGGCAGTAAGCGAGACAGTGGGCTATGAGCAAAAGTCCACGTGGACGAACAACCAGGACTTTCCGCCAGAGCTCATAACCGGTAAACAAGGATGACAAAGATGAAGAGGACATTTATGACTAACGCGACTGGTATATGAAACAATGAACCTCTTATTATATTTTCCCTAATGACTCAGTTTTTAGTCAAATTAATCAACTCAACTGTGAATGAGAAGCTTAACAAAGGAAAGAGGTGAGGGGGGGGGGCGCCTAATGTATATACACAAGACAAATCGACCTAAGCCTTTTTTACACACCATGGCAACAGCGACAGTAAACAGAAAGCAGAGTACATAGTGTGTCCTGAAAGGCGCTGTATTTTCGCCCAAGCACCGTGGGTGGGAAAATAGGTAAAACAAAAGATAGTTCCCCCATTCTACACAGCGGTACACACTAGCTCGCTCCTGATTGGTCGACCTTCAGCCTACCTTACCTCTGATTGGTCGGCCTCGAGCCATCCGACTTTCCCACAAGGTGACGGGGCTGTTCCGCAATGCCGTTGATACGGTGTGTTGTATATTTCACCATTTAGCACTCCAAAAACATCGACAACTTGGTCTAACACACAACTTCTTTAGACAGTGACGAAACCTATGTCACAGACAGTCTCTTTTTTAGAATAAAAACGTAAATGCAAGACAACAGACCGCCACACCCATAACCTAGACAACGGTAAACTTTTCCAACAAACTTATCAATGAAATCGACCTACTTTTCCTGGGGAGACCAACGTTTTGATAACCGGGAAAAAATACGGCCGGTGCGGTGGTGGGGGGTGTTAGCTACGCGATGCAACAAGTCCCAGTTGTCGACAAGCAGTTGGAGCGTGCGGATCGTGGAGGTAGTGAAATCTTGTGAGAGTGTCGTGTCGTGGAAAACTAAATAATGTTCCATCAAACAGTTCACGCAATTTAACTTTTGAAAATTCGGGGCAGAGACGTTGGAAATGTTAAAGAGCATATATCAGTGACCGTTTGCGTCGATCGATGGTGTTTGACTGGCATAAGGCCTTCAAGGAGAGAAGAGAAGATGCTGAGGACAAGAGACTTGTGGGTCGAGTTTCCACCACCAAAACAAAGGAAAACGTTAACCGTGTGTGGAACAGTTTAAACAGTGATCGATGAAAGAGTGTGCAATTAATCGCGGAGGAACTAAATTTCTCCAGAATGCAAGATTTCGAAATTGTGACGCAAAATGTGTGCATAGTTGGTGCCATAAGTGCTGACACACGATAACCAAGCAGACCAGCGTGACATTTTGGCAAGACTTGTTGCAGCGTGTGACAGCACAGCCAAACTTTCTGCGGAAGGTGATCATAGGAGATGAATCCTTGGTGTCTCAATACGATCCGCAGACTAAAAGACAAATTTCCGAATGGCACTGGAGAGGGTCACCCCGTTCCGTTTTTTCACGACGCGTCACTGGAACAGGGATTCACTTCTTCCACGATCCGCACGCACGCTAAAACTGGTTGCAACGCATATCTAATACCTCCACCCCCCTCCTTTTCCCCACCCACGGCGCATGCGCGAAACTACAGCGCTTGTCCAATTACTTTCAGGATACACCCTGTATTCTGGCTACCTGCCCCCCCCCCCCTCCTCCATCAAGATCGGGTCTCGTAAAGCACTATAAAATACAGGGAAATGAAAAATGATGCGAAACTAATGAAATAAATCATGCAGAGAAAATGGTAAAAATTATTGTGGTTAAATGTGTAAGTGAATACCGATTATATAGTCCCAGTAGCATCATGTATTACTGATGCAGTCCCCAAGAATACTTCGGTTTGAATCCCCCACCCCCCCCCCCTGTTTTAACCCCAACCTCGTTTCATTTAATCAGGCCCAACAGAAGTAACACCCCCGCCTGCCCAGCACTCTAGCCCACCCCACCACGCCCAGCACTCTAACCCACCCCACCACGCCCAGCACTCTAGCCCACCCCACCACGCCCAGCACTCTAGCCCACCCCACCACGCCCAGCACTCTAGCCCACCCCACCACGCCCAGCACTCAAGCCCACCCCACCACTCTAGCCCACCCCACCACGCCCAGCACTCTAGCCCACCCCGCCTGCCCATCACTCTAGCCCACCCCACCACGCCCAGCAATCCCCCTGTTTCATTTCAATGGATTTTTCTAAAACATTTTCCCAACAGTCTCAATAAGCCGAGATCCGAGAGAATTCCAATTTAGTTTTTGTCCCCTCGGTTTTTTCACATGAAGAGCCTTTTTTTCTAAAAAATTATCTTTCCTTGTGCAACTTCCCACTGTTTTGATCTTGTTTAAAACGTGTTTTTGTCGTGTTGTATACAGTATAGTTAATTCATCACTCGTTAGAATAAGCAGTACACATATGCCGTAATTGTAACTGTCTGACAGAGTATTTCAAGAAAGGTGGAGAACGGCATGCTCCGTGCAGAGTGGCAAACATCGCTTCCATGTAGTAAGCTTCCTTTAGATATCATCTCCAGGCCATGCTTATGTTTTGGGAAACTAACAGGCAGACAGACAGGCCGATTCTGCACCACTTGGGTTATGCACTGATGACGAAAAGTTGTCATAAGAGTCCTTCGGGGGCGAGCGAGCTGTGCGTAGGCACAAGCAGATTAATATTACGGTGTGAGGAAAAGGATGTCGCGAGGAGTTGCCAGGAAATCTGGCCGATGCTCAAAAGTCAAGAGAAAGTTAAGGCGGATTATACAATCAGATAGTTACTGGTACCATGGGAACAACAAGTGCGCTTGCTGCTGAAGATGAGGACGGAGCGCTTATAGGAATGTCCCGATTGATGTTATGCTGATTCTTCTATGGACCCTGTTCAACCCTTAGACATTTCTATACACCCTGCCTGGAGAGAATGAGGCACCTGGGTGTAACCAACGGGTCTGGCCGGCTGACTACACTCAGAGGAGAGGCAAGACGGACACATAACTAGATTGTGACCGGTACCATCAGTATTGGAACTCTGCCCTGGCTGCTGAAGATGAGGGCGGAGCATGCATGAGATTGCCCCGAGTGCTGTGATGTCAATTCTTGACTCGACTCAACTCAACTCTATACACCCTGTTCAACCCTTACATATTTTTAGACACCCTGTTCAATCCTTACTCATTTCTATACATCCTGATCAACCTCAACACACTTCTACAGACCCTGCCAAACCTTTACATACTTCTAAAGACCTTGTTCAACCGTTAGACACACATACAGACCCTCCCCACGAATATATTTACACTCTATTCCACAGAGATTTTTCAAACAAGAAAGACAAGCTGGTCAGAATCATTTCATGAAGACAGCCTTTGAGTACCTGGAGAAGTTGGCTCACCCCAGTCAGAAGCACCTGGCCAGGAACGACAGCGACATCAATGATATACTTCTAAGGAGCTACTCTCTGTCAGAGAAGGAGATGGCCAAAGAGGCATCTGACCTCATCCGCCAGAACATGCTCAGGTTGAATATATATTTGGAGGTGAGTCAGACAGGTCAGTTAGTTGACCAGGTGATGGCTGAACACAGACAGAACAACCTGTTAGATAGACTGGGTGATGGCTGAACACAGACAGAACAACCTGTTAGATAGACTGGGTGATGGCTGAACGCAGATAGAACAGCCTGTTAGATAGACTGGATGATAGCTGAACACAGATAGAACAACCTGTAAAATAGACTAGGTGATAGCTGAACACAGATAGAACAACCTGTTAGAAAGACTAGGTGATAGCTGAACACAGATTGAATAACCTGTTAGATAAACTGGGTGATAGACTGGGTGATGGCTGAACACAGATAGAACAACCTGTTAGATAGACTAGGTGATAGCTGAACACAGACTGAATAACCTGTTACATAAACTGGGTGATAGACAGGGTGTTAGCTGAACACAACAGAACAACCTGTTAGATAGACTGGGTGATGGCTGAACACGACAGAACAACCTGTTAGATAGACTGGGTGATGGCTGAACACAACAGAACAACCTGTTAGATAGACTGGGTGATGGCTGAACACGACAGAACAACCTGTTAGATAGACTGGGTGATGGCTGAACACGACAGAACAACCTGTTAGATAGACTGGGTGATGGCTGAACACGACAGAACAACCTGTTAGATAGACTGGGTGATGGCTGAACACAGAGAGAACAGCCATCTTTTGAGAAGAATGCATGAATATCGATTGCAGTTAGGAAGCTCAGTCAAGGCATGTAAAGTAAAGGACCATTTTTCCACGCTTTCAGTAGTACTGGGCATATCGGGCTAGACCTATATTTTATAGACCAATCGGCACTTGATGGGTGATGCAGTCAGTATCACGTCAGCTGCCTTTACTTCCCAGGACTCCAAATGTGGTATCTATTAAAGGCTGGGTTAACCTCGGAGCCAAGCTCATCCAAGCCAATAGTTTTGCTGCAGTTAACATTTCTTACCCAACTGGCACAAGGAAACCAGACCATAATTATAACCGATAATGCTCGAATTCGGTTGAACGTGGCCAATTTGTTGTTGTTTTGTTTTTCACTAATGAATGGGTGCGGTCGCGCCTTCTTCTAGGAGTGTCCAGCTGACAGTTTGTTCAAGTACGGGTCTACTGTCCAGCTTTACTGTCCCGTCCTCTTCTATATTCTATGAGTGTCCAGTTGGCAGTATGTCCAAGCTAAGTTATATCTTCCACCGGAACTACACCGCCTACTTCTAGAGGTGTCACTGGCGGGGTGTTGAAAGGTTGAACTGGTAGTGTGCTGAGACACAACAGTTCCTACACTGAGACACAACAGATCCTACACTGAGACACAACAGTTCCTACACTGAGACACAACGAACAGTTCCTACACTGAGACACAACAGTTCCTACACTGAGACACAACAGTTCCTACACTGAGACACAACAGTTCCTACACTGAGACACAACAGTTCCTACACTGAGACACAACAGTTCCTACACTGAGACACAACAGTTCCTACACTGAGACACAACAGTTCCTACACTGAGACACAACAGTTCCTACACTGAGACACAACAGTTCCTACACTGAGACACAACAGCTCCTACACTGAGACACAACAGTTCCAACACTGAGACACAACAGTTCCTACACTGAGACACAACAGTTCCTACACTGAGACACAACAGTTCCAACATTGAGACACAACAGTTCCTACACTGAGACACAACAGTTCCTACACTGAGACACAACAGTTCCTACACTGAGACACAACAGTTCCTACACTGAGACACAACAGTTCCTACACTGAGACACAACAGTTCCTACACTGAGACACAACAGTTCCTACACTGAGACACAACAGTTCCTACACTGAGACACAACAGTTCCTACACTGAGACACAACAGTTCCTACACTGAGACACAACAGTTCCTACACTGAGACACAACAGTTCCTACACTGAGACACAACAGTTCCCACACTGAGACACAACAGTTCCCACACTGAGACACAACAGTTCCTACACTGAGACACAACAGTTCCTACACTGAGACACAACAGTTCCTACACTGAGACGCAACAGTTCCTACACTGAGACACAACAGTTCCTACACTGAGACACAACAGTTCCTACACTGAGACACAACAGTTCCTACACTGAGGCACAACAGTTCCTACACTGAGACACAACAGTTCCTACACTGAGACACAACAGTTCCTACACTGAGACACAACAGTTCCTACACTGAGACACAACAGTTCCTACACTGAGACACAACAGTTCCTACACTGAGACACAACAGTTCCTACACTGAGACACAACAGTTCCTACACTGAGACACAACAGTTCCTACACTGAGACACAACAGTTCCTACACTGAGACACAACAGTTCCTACACTGAGGCACAACAGTTCCTACACTGAGACACAACAGTTCCTACACTGAGACACAACAGTTCCTACACTGAGACACAACAGTTCCTACACTGAGACACAACAGTTCCTACACTGAGACACAACAGTTCCTACACTGAGACACAACAGTTCCTACACTGAGACACAACAGTTCCTACACTGAGACACAACAGTTCCTACACTGAGACACAACAGTTCCTACACTGAGACACAACAGTTCCTACACTGAGACACAACAGTTCCTACACTGAGACACAACAGTTCCTACACTGAGACACAACAGTTCCTACACTGAGACACAACAGTTCCTACACTGAGGCGCTGTCGCCATTTGCGAGGCAGCAAGTTCAGATGTCTTAGAAGTATACTAAATCCCCATTGGGCATTTTCCCCGTGTGGGTTCCGGGGTCCTACTATGGGAAAAACTAGGATAGACAGACTGCCTATCCAAAAGCATGTCGTAAGAGTCGACAAATTGGGAGCTTCCTTCGAAGTCGGAGTGCATCTGTCTGAGAGGCAGGGAACCAACTGTCTGCATACAGATCTGTAAAACGGATGCACACGCAATACCCAGGTTCTGGAACAGAACTGCAGTCCAGAAGTGGACGAACAACCAGTACTTTCCGCAGGAGTTCACAGCCGGTGAACGCGAAGAAGAATGAAGATTTAGAAATCTGATTGAACACGCAAACAAGACAAGGGAACAAGCAAGATCATGTTTCCCATTTTATAAGAAAGCGCCGCTGGAACTACATCGGCCATGACCTCAGAATGGATAAGAAAAGACTCCCCCATCAAGCCCTCATATGGAAACCGGAAGCGAAAAGAAAGCGGGAAAGACTAAGAGAGACCCTGAGTGGAATCATCATCTCGGAAGGCTCAAACATGGACCTAGCTAACATACAAGACCTAAAACAGGTGGCAACGAACGGCCATAGATTGAGAGCTATGACATGTGCTCTATGCACCGTCCTAGGCTCAAAAGAAAAAACTAAGTAAGTTCTGATCCTTGTGAGGCTTTCAAGTAGCATATTGTTTTGTATGTCCTTTAATCTACTTTGGGGGCGAGTGAACAGTGCCGAGTAACAGATAGATCATTACGGTTTGAGGAAAATGGCACTGCGTAGAGGTACATAGGATCTGGCCGACACTTGACACAGTTACTGGTACCATCAGCATTTTAACTCTTCGCTTGCTGCTGAAGATGGGGACGGAGTTCTTATGGGTGTGTCCCGAGTGATGTGATGTCGATTCTTAATTCAACATTTAATCTACAATCTGCTAGTGCAAGTCAATACCCATGAATGTGTTGTTTTGTACCCCTCCTCCTAACGCAACCTTATATTTCTGTCTGCTAGGACCTGAGTGTGGTAGAGTATCGACAGCTGCCCGCCTATGGACTGGCGGATCTGTTTGCCGATATCGGAGGCACCCTGGGTCTATGGATGGGCATCTCTGTGCTGACCATCATGGAGCTCATAGAACTAATCATCAGACTTATCGGCCTCGTCTTCAACTCGGAGAAGGAGCTTCCCAGAGGACCCACCACCAACAGCAACAGCAGCAGCAGCAATAACAACAACCACAACCAAAGCACTAGCCAGAACCAGCTGTACAATGGCTACATGGAGCACGACAGTCATTATTCAGACTCGGTGGGAGCCTCGGTGTTTGACTTCAGGCGCGGAGTGGAGTCGCCTGTATGACACACGCTGCTGTGGGGAATCGCTGAAATGCTGCGAGACTTCAAGAATACTTGTGGGGAGCGGAAGGCTTCATGTAAACCCGTGCACTGTGTGTGCTTTGTTGAACGTTTCATTCTTCGACCAGTGGCGAGGGGGTTCTAATCCCTTGTAGAGATAGATCTATTATAATCAGCGATTCACTGCATTTTGTGACTGCCTGATAGTCGTAATGATGTCATCTGATGACATCGCAGGCTCTACGGCAAATATTGATGTCGATGTCAAGCAATTGTTGATGACAATGTCAAGCAATCGTTGATGACGCCTGGTAACATCCAATATCTACCCGGCATCCACTGACACCATCCAATGATGTGATGGCATCCAGCAAAGCAATATGTCGTACAATTCTGACATCTCGACAGTCAACTACAACTTGTATTATGTCATTATGTGGCATAAAGACACGACGTGGCCATCTATGATCCAACAAATCAAGTACATCAATCAACGTTGTAATGACCTGATTCAACATTTGACATTCGTACCATATACAACGATAGCAATACTATACGGTAGCCTTGCCAATCCTTGTGACATCCCAGTAATATTGACATCTGCCGAACCTTTGAATTATCGTTTCTAATACTCATAATTCTATCATTCTGTCACTAAGTGACATCCTTTCATTCACGTTCAGAAGCTGTAATTCCACCATGTGCTGTGATGACATCGTGTGATCTTAAATACCCAATAATTATATTGTTAAACATCCAATAATTATATTGTTAAACATCCAATAATTATGTCGTTAAACACCCAATAATTAGGTTGTTAAACATCCAATAATTGTGTTGTTAAATATCCAATAATTATGTTGTTAAACATCCAATAATTATGTTGTTAAACATCCAATAATTATGTTGTTAAATATCCAATAATTATGTTGTTAAACATCCAATAATTATGTTGTTAAACGTCCAATAATTATGTTGTTAAACATCCAATAATTATTTCGTTAAACATCCAATAATTTTGTTGTTAAACATCCAATAATTATGTTGTTAAACATCCATTAATTATGTTGATAAACATTAAAAATTATGTTGGTGATCTGACAGCATCAGGCGATCTCTTGACATCTCTTTTGTTGGTGTCATCTATGATTCTACCCCATCCAGTGAATGTCAATCAGTTACTGCAGACGCCTGTCATTCTGCAACAACTAATGCGGATGGTACAACAACTAATGCGGATGGTACAACAACCAATGAGGATGGCACAACAACTAATGAGGATGGTACACTCGTGAGACCACGTATGGCAAAGAGCAGCGATTCTCAACCTGCCGGTGGAGACCCTTCTTTGGGGTCGAATGACCCTTTCACTGGGATCACCTAAGACCATCGTAAAACACATATTTTTCGAAGGAAAATAACTGTTTGGGGGTCGCCAGAACATTAGGAAACTGTATTAAAGGGTCGCGGCAGTGGGAAGATTGAGAGCCACTGGCACAGAGGATGCTGTAACCATTTGATTGGCATCACGTGAAACGATGTATGACCTTCACACAAGATCAGAGGGGTGTTCCGCGATGCTGTTGATATCGCGCCTTGTATATTTCAGCACGCCAGCGTTTTTAATAAAAACATGGAGAAACTGACTCTAACAACCCCCTAGAGAGTGCTGCAACCTATGTCACAGACATTCTCTTTCTCTGAATGAAAACGTAAATTCAAGTCAATGCAGAAAGCAAAAAACAAAGCGCGACACACCCGTAACCTTCAGGAAAGTCGACCAGCCCAACAAACTTCTAAATCAAAAGTGACCTTCTCTATTTGGGGAGTTTAACGTGAACCTAACCGTGATCTTTCTATACTGGGGCCTGGGCCTCTGGCCCTTGACAAGCCTCATTTTCAAAAATGGGGTATCTGAGTTAACTTAGTTGAACAGCCCTGATGTACAGTCTGTGGAGTCACAAAAGACAGTGCGAGATTGTGTGTGGTTCTCAAGATAACATGGGACTGGTGTGTTATTTTGCAGACAATGCAGAACCGACGAGAGGCTCCGAAAACTGTGGGTGGATGTGTGGCTGTACGGATGTGAGAATGGAAAATGGTTCTAGAGACGATGTGGTATTAGTGCCGTTTTGAGAAGAATATTTGATCTGGTGTGTAGTTCTGAAGACGATACAGAACTGATGTGTGGTTTTAAACGCTATGCAGAACTGGTGTGCAGTTCTGAACACGATGCGAGAACTGGTGTGCAGTTCTGAACACGACGTAGAACTGGTGTGTAGTTCCGCACACGACGGAGAACTGGTGTGTAGTTCCGAACACGACGGAGAACTGATGTGTAGTTCCGAACACGACGGAAAACTGGTGTGTAGTTCTGAACACGACGGAGAACTGGTGTGTAGTTCTGAACACGACGGAGAACTGGTGTGTAGTTCTGAACACAACGGAGAACTGGTGTGTAGTTCTTAACACGACGGAGAACTGGTGTGTAGTTCTGAACACGACGGAGAATTGGTGTGTAGTTCTGAACACGACGGAGAACTGGTGTGTAGTTCTGAACACGACGGAGAACTGGTGTGCAGTTCTGAACACGACGGAGAACTGGTGTGCAGTTCTGAACACGACGGAGAACTGGTGTGCAGTTCTGAACACGACGGAGAACTGTTGTGCAGTTCCGAACACGACGGAGAACTGGTGTGTAGTTCGGAACACGACGGAGAACTGGTGTGTAGTTCTGAAGACGATACAGAACTGGTGTGCAGAAGCGGGCTTGTCATCAAGTTGCAACTTTTACTGTTAGCATGTCAACTCTTCACTGGTTACTAAATAAAGAGACGGAGTCCGTGTGGGAATGTCCCTAGTGCCTCATTCATTCACTGTAGGACTGGTGCGTGGTTGTGAAGGTTAGGTAGGAGTGCGTATGGTTCTGATGAAGATCTGGGACTGATGTGTGGATCTGAAGATAGTGCAAGAACACTGTGTGGCACCACAACCGTTGTTTGTAAAATTCGACAGTTTTCAAATATCTGGTGATTCTTGAACATCCGATGATTCTAAGATATCCGGTGATTCTAAGATATCTCGTGATTCCAAGACATCCGGCGATCCTAAGATATCCAATGATTCTAAGATATCAGATTATCCTGAGATATCCGCTGATTCTAATATATCCTGTGATTCTAAAACATCCGACGATTAAAAGACATCCAGTGATTCTAAAGATATCTGGTGATCCTGAGATATCTGCTGATTCTATGATATCCAGTGATTCTAATATATCCAGTGATTCTATGATATCCGGTGATTCTAATAAATCCGGTGATTCTAAGATATCTGAGGAATTCTAAGATAAGCGGTGATTCTCGGACGTCCAGTTAATTTAAAACCACGAAAACTGCGCAAATAAACATGACCACAAATATAGCCGGAGACTGTTGATAGCTTCGGCTAGCTAGCAGCAGGCTGAACGTGGTTGAGTGTTTTTTTTTTTTTTTTCTTCTTCTTCAAGGAATTGGAAAATTGGAAACAGCCTACGTTTGTGGTAAACAGTATCCCGCGATATTTGTGACATTCTAAAATATGTAACAGTGTGAAATATGTGACATTTCAGAATACATGACATTCTGGAATATGTGACGTTTTAAAATACATGACATCCGGTTCTAATGTCAAAAAAAAAAAAATCCGTGTAAAGTGGGTTTTTTACTGGATTATTCTGTTTTGAACAAATCCTGCCCGGACAAAGTGGATTAGTTCTCTCAAGATACTATAACCTGACTATGTCAAGTGGTCATTTACATTTCACTCCTGTAAACATTACGGCTTATACTACTATTTAGATGGCTCTGACCGAGGGGGCGGGGGGGGGGGCGTATTTTAAAGGACATCACATGGTCTTAAGTTCTTATGACATCACAGTGTCTTGAGTTCTTAAGGCATCACAGGGTTTTAAGTTGTTCTTAGGGCACACAGTGTCTTAAGTTCTTAGGGCATCACAGGGTCTTAAGTTCTTATGGCATCACAGTGTCTTGAGTTCTTAGGGCATCGCAAGGTCTCAAGTTCTTAGGGCATCACAGGGTCTTAAGTTCTTAGGGCACAAAGTGTCTTAAGTTCTTAGGGCATCACAGGGTTTTAAGTTGTTCTTAGGGCATCACAGGGTCTTAAGTTCTTAGGGCATCACAGGTTTTTAAGTTGTTCTTAGGGCATCACAGGGTTTTAAGTTGTTCTTAGGGCATCACAGGGTTTTAAGTTGTTCTTAGGGCACACAGTGTCTTATGTTCTTAGGGCACAAAGTGTCTTATGTTCTTAGGGCATCACAGGGTCTTAAGTTCTTAGGGCATCACAGGGTCTTAAGTTCTTAGGGCATCACATGGTCTTATGTTCTTAGGGCACAAAGTGTCTTAAGTTCTTAGGGCACACAGTGTCTTAAGTTCTAAGGGCATCACAGGGTCTTAAGTTCTTAGGGCATCACAGGGTCTTAAGTTCTTAGGGCATCACAGTGTCTTGAGTTTTTAGGGCATCACAGGGTCTTATGTTCTTAGGGCATCACAGGGTCTTAAGTTCTTAGGGCACACAGTGTCTTAAGTTCTTGGGCATCACAGGGTCTTAAGTTCTTAGGGCACACAGTGTCTTAAGTTCTTGGGCATCACAGGGTCTTAAGTTCTTAGGGCATCACAGGGTCTTAAGTTCTTAGGGCATCACAGTGTCTTAAGTTCTTAGGGCACAAAGTGTCTTAAGTTCTTAGGACATCACAGGGTCTTAAGTTCTTAGGGCACATAGTGTCTTAAGTTCTTAGGGCATCACAGGGTCTTAAGTTCTTAGGGCACATAGTGTCTTAAGTTCTTAGGGCATCACAGGGTTTTAACCCACTCTTGCCTCCAGCACATTTTATATATTTACAAGCATAACCCTCCCCCCTTTTCCACCCCTCCCCCCCCCCTCCCAGTAGATTATTTATTATATTCCCAGCAAATTCGCCCATTACAGTAATTTCCTCAGCGATGC